ACCTGAAAATGCATATTCTTTAGGGAATGCTGCTTCGACAGTTTATGTATTTGGAGCTGTTCCTGGATTTCTTGTAATTTAACTATCGACTAATGTAGTTGTTGTTAAAGGAACCTTAGATCCCAAAGGATTTGGTTGTTTAATTAGAAAAGCTTTGAATTAGTCTATAGATCCTATGTAAGCCCCAGGAGAAGCTGAATGAACAACTGATTAGAATTGACCATTGAATGCAGGATATCTGTTATTGTCTTTGCCTCCCAAAATAAATTTGACATATGTATTATCTGGATGAGTAACTTAATGAACTACATCGATTGGATCAGTTGCACCAAATTAAATGAATGCGACTGCCTTCTTCTCTTATTTGCTATATGAATAGTAAACATATGTCCACAATCCTTCAATATCAGCTGGGTAATTCACATTCTTTATAACATTGACTTGACCTGGTAAATTACATGTTGTGAAGTGATAATAACCTTGTCCTTACCAAATAGCCAATGTTCTATCTCCCATAGCAATATTATCGTAATTAGGTCTGTTAGCCAATCTTGAAATGAAATACCAAGGTGCATTCTTTCCATTTTCTAATTTAACTGGATAAGCAGTTAAGAATCTCATCCAAAATCCATAACCATATTCAGAGAGAGCTTATTCAGATTTAAATTCTTTGGTAACTTTAGGTGTATTGTCTGATACTGAATTAGGAATTTATGTTTCTCCAGTCTCTTTATCAACTTCTGGTTAAATCTTCTTTTAATCTGGTTTTTTGAGGATGTTAATTTCACCTTTTTGTAATCCGAAAATATCATCTGGATGTTTGAAATCAGGAGTCTTTTTGAAAGTTCCATCTCCTAAGTTAAAATTCACAAATGCCATTTTACCATTCAATCCCGGAAAATGTAAGTCTTTACCAACAAATGTATAAAACTTAGGTGCATAATAATGATTGACATTGTTATATTCTAATGTTTCTATTCCCGAAGCAAATCTGACTCCAACGAATGCTTTTTATAAATTCTTAGAATAACCAAAGTAGACAAAGAACCAATCAAAAATTCTATTCTTATGTTGGATATTGCTAACCATATTTGGATTACCTGCTCCATTCATATTAGTGTATGCGTATGTAGGGAAATGCAATATTCCACCCTATGCAGTACCAATCCAGCAAGATAATGTTCTATCTCCTAAGTATCTGTCAGTTGATGGTTTCTTGATTTACACTCTGAAAACATTATGCCAAACTTATTGTTAGGTTTATTCCCATTTAAACCATCCAGAAATAGCATATTCATGTGGGAACATTTCTTAACCTCCTCCTATTTCATCATAATCTGAATTATCATTTTATTTCCTTGAAACAACTTCAGAAACTAATTCATGATTATAGAATTAGTCTAAGTCTTATTTAGGTATAATTGTTCTCTTTAATTAATCTGAAAAGTCTTCAATTGTATCCAAAAATGCACCTGGTCTAGCAGAAAAACTAACTTAACTGAATACACCATTGAATCCAGGATATTATTTATTATCCATACCGCCTAAAATGAATTTCACCTTCTTTGTAGCAGGATGTTGAACTGAATGTAAGATTGTTCTTGGTTCTTAATCTGCATATTTGATAAAGGCAATTGCTTTTTTAGCTTCAGAACTGTATGAATAATACACATATGTCCATAAACCTTCAATATCATTTGGATAGTTAATATTCTAAATTACATTTGCTTGATTCTTTGGTTAATCACAGGTAGTGAAATGATAATATCCTTAACCTTACCAGATTGCTAATAATCTGTCACCCATTTCAATATTTTTGTAATTCATATTAGAAGTTAATCTTGAAACGAAATACCATGGAGCATTCTTTCCATTCAATAATCTATCAGGGAAGGCAGTCAAGAATCTCATCCAAAATCCATAACCATATTCAACCAAATCATTTTCCTATTCTTAAGTTTCTTCAATGACTGGTTTATTTTCTTCACTTGAACTTGGTCTGGTCAATCCATCAATATCAGCATCATTTAATACTTTATATGGTTTCTTTTATTTTTCAGGATCCTCTTCAGTATCTATTTCTGGTTGAACTCCAATCAATTTCTTTTTACCTATAATGAAGTTGAATGGATCTCCTTTTCCTGTGAAATCATTGTTAGGTTTGAAAGATCCTTCACCAACATTGAAAGATACCAATGCTACTTTACCATTAAAGCCTGGGAATTATTTATCTTTTCCAACGTAAATAAAGAATTTTGATACTTAGAAATGTCTGATGTTTTCATATTCTTATTTATCTATTGTTAATTTCCATTGAATTTAAGCAACTGCTTTCTTCTAAGGTCTTGAGTATCCAAAGTAAATAAAGAACCATTCTGTATGTCTATTTTAATGTGGAATGTTTTTGATAACATTTGGATTTCCAGCTCCTTCTAAATTAGTAAATGTATAAGTAGGTAAATGAATGATACCTCCATCTTATTTACCAACCCAAGCAGACAATGTTCTATCTCCCAAAAATTTATCAGTTGATGGTTATTAGATTTGAACTCTAAAAATATTATGCCAATCTTGTTGTTCTTTTGGTGCTTCCCATTTAAACCAACCACTGAAAGCATATTCATGAGGGAATTTTGGATTTTTAGAGGTTCCAACAATTGAAAGTATTTCTTTAGTTTCTGGATCTCTTTGCTAAGGATTTGAAACAACTTTATAAGTTACTAATTCAGGTAAAAAGTCTTTTGGTTATTTTTTTTATGCTTACAATTTTCCAATTACATCTTCTTCAAAATCAAGGAAAGTACCTGGTTTAGTACTGAAATACACTTATTAGATTAAACCATTGAATCCAGGATATCTATTTTAATCTTTGCCTCCAATTGTGAATTTAACCCATTTCGTTGATGGATTCTATACTTCATGAACAATCTTTTTCACATCATTATTTCCAAATTTAATAAAAGCAACAGCTCTTTTCTTTTCAACACTATATGAATAGTAAATATATGTCCAAACACCATCAAAATCTTCTGGATAATTTATATTTTAAGCAACATTTGGTTGATTCTTTGGTTGATCACAAGTTGTGAAATGATAATATCCTTTACCTAACCAAACAGCTAATAATCTATCTCCCATATTGATATTTTCATCTTTTTTATTTGCACTCAATCTTGAAACAAAATACCAAGGTGCATCTTTACCGTTAGGCAAAAATTTAGGATATGCCAACAAAAACTTAGCCCAATATCCATATCCATACTCAGTAAATGGTTCTTGATTCTCCTTTTCCTTTGATATAACAGGATCTGGATTTGTAAAATCGGCTGGTTTCTTTTTATTTGTTGAATCATCATCATCTTCTTCATCTGTTGTACTGCTTGGTTCAGAAACACTTTATTCCTATTAATCATCTCCTTCTGGAACTCTATCATCTGGCTTAGGTCTTACTGGTTGTGTTGGTTAAATCGGTTTTTTGATTTCTTCCTTTCCTTATTATTAACCATCAACTTTTCCTGGAATCACTACTTATCTTCCTTCTTCTCCTTCCTTTGGTTTAATTCTTATTATTGTTCCTTGGCCATCGGAACATTCTTTAGTTATTTCTCTCACTTCATCGGCCTTAGAATTTATAATGTTGATTGTAATCTAAAATAATAGAGTATTCTTACTTATGGTCCCTTCTAGCATTGATTTCTCACTTACTCCCTCTCTTTCATTAATCTATTAATCAATTCTTCTATTCTATCACAACATTATTCCAAATCTTTTTCATCTTCAGCTCTATCTAATAAACTTACTACTCCTTATAATTCGATAGCACTATCTTTTCTCCATCTTTAATAGGGTGTGATTTATAGATGTTGTGCACTAATCTAACTCATTATATCAGAAAAAGAATTTCTGAATTGCAATAGTACTATTATTAAAAACTTATTATTTTACCAGGTTCTGTATCTTCATAATCACTTCCACGAAAATCCTATAAAGCCACCTTTAATTATTAAAGATTAGAAGAATCTGCATTCAGTTGGTCTTAGTTTTCTAAAATCTCTGACCATGCATCAATTGAAGTGCTCACTTCTCCTAACGTTGGACTACAATCCAATTTATTTGTCTCCATTTAATGTAATTCACTTAAATTATGCAATTTTAGGTTGCTTCCCAATTAAATGAATTGTTAAGCTAGAACTCATATTTAACTCATACCTCCCAGTGTGCAAACTAGTAATAACACTATGAACAGCGTTTTATTATTCATATTTAAAAAATAATATGAATTTTGTATTATTAAATTCAATATAAATCAAAAAATTCGTTTTTGATTTCATCGTCTGGATTATAATTTTTTAAAATATCAAAATTTCTGTTATTATAAAGGGTCCTCATTTTATTTATGTTGCCAAGAAGGTTTAATTTTGGAGTTAAAATTATTAGGCTAATCTTTTAAGTTTTAACTAAATGTCTATACCTTCATTATTTTACTCTAAATTAACGTTTAATCATGGCTTTTTTTAGAATTTCAAAAATTATTTATCTACTTTACAAATCTGAGAACAATAACATCTCTCATTACAAAAATTCCTATTTAAGACTCGCATTTTGTAATTCATCTCTTCTTCCGAATCGCATTTAATGGCTAATTTTTTGTTAATTTTTATTTATAATTAATTATTTAAAATCTACATATCATTAATTATATAATAATCTTAAGTGATTTGTTCTTTTCAAACTTTGGTGTAATTAATATAATTTACTTATTCTTGGTAGGTAAAAAGTAAAATAAGAAAGTTATATATTATTATAGATTTTTTATAGATTTTATAAAAGTTAAATTTATCCCTTTAATTGAGAAAGTTTTCTTGTGTTTTTTTTTTTTATAATGATATAAATTATTAGAAAGCGATATTACTACATAATAAAAAGAGTGAAAAATTAGATATGAGTTTTATTTTAATAATTGAGAATAAAAAATCTCTAAAAATTCTAAATAATAATATATTGTATTGGTTTATGTTATAAATCTCAAAGATTTTACAGTGTGGAATCCTAAATTTTTGAGGTTGTTTCAAGATATGCTGCATTCAATTTACTAGCCAAATTATCTCCCTATTCAGATTCAAGAATATTTCCATTAATATCTGTGGCTGTATAAGAATAAACACCAGCATTGTTTGAAAGATCAACTACAGCTCCAACAACTCCTGGAACATAGTCAGAATGAGTTTCAGTGAGTGATGCATATTTTTTGGTCGAAACTTCTTTGTCAGTTGTTATCTAGGCCCAGTGTTCTAAGAAAAACATAGAGAATTAAATAATTACAAGACTCTTTTGCACTCAAATGATAATCTTTATCTCCTAAATTCTCAAATTCAAAGAAAGCGCTATTAAAAGTTCTAGCTTTTTTATTATGAACTGCTTTGTGAGTTTTTCTTACATGTCCTGCAGTAACTGATAATAATAAGACACAGATGAGAATTGCCTTAATCATAATTTATATTATTATTAAAAATCGTTTTTACTTCTTTTGGGTTTTAAAATTATTATTCAATAAATCTATCATTCATTTTCCATTGCCTTCCATACTAATATCAATATCCATGTTATCAATAGGAATATAAACATAGGCCAAAACACTATGCAGCTATAATTTAATAACCAGATAATTGTCAAAATAATCAAGCTCCATTTACATGTTTAATAATTGATAACGTTGTTAAGATCGTGAAATTGTAATGATAAATGAAAACAGCTAGTATTCTTGCAAGTTATTAAAATGCAGCAACAATCAATACATCTACAACAAGCAGAGATTGAAAACAAAAATAACAGAATTGAAATTATTGATCCAATGAAATCACAATTATCAGGTGTTTCATCAATTTTCTTTTAGAATAGTTATCTAAAGACAAATCCTAAAAAAACAAACAACCAATATGCAAAACAACATTCAAAGCAATCTGGTTGTTTTCTTGATTCTTTTACTCGTTTTTACAATTCCTATAAATATTATTTTCTCAACTCCTCATCATTATTATTTGCTCTTACTTAAATTACATATTTACGTATCATCTATTTATTGGGTCTGTTTCTCTTCTTCTCTATTATTCATAAAAATAAATATTGCAAAATTGCAATTTATAAATATTTATATTTATCAATAAAATGTTAACTATATTCAAAAATTTTTGGCATATTTATCAACCTACATAAAAAGTTCATTACTATATACTTTACAATTTTTCTTAATCTTTCAACTCCTAATTTATTTTCCCCTGAAATATTATCTAGAATAAAATCACAGAAAATATTACCAGATTTATAAGGAGGTGATATTCTTATTGAAATTGATGGAATGATGATCTCTTAATCTTTCCAATCAACATCCCTATACAATTTTTATAAATGATCAAATAATTGTTAATGTGGTTCTTTCATTTCCTTTTTTATCATCTCTTAAGCCATAGCTGCTAAATCAACAGCCAATAAATTTTATAACGTTTACTAGGCTTAGTGGAACGTATACTTTAGGATCTTAAATATCAATGGTTTATAAATCTTATATAGATTGCTGATTAATTAAAAAAAAGTCATCTTCATTTTCTACAAATATAGCAATCTCATTCATACTTAATATAATTATTGATTCATCACAATAATATATAAGACCTTGAAATACATCACCATAATTTGTTGTTACTTTGGCTTACATACCAAATAATTATAGTTTTTATGTATCTGTAGTCAATAGTGTCCATTGTTATTTCGACATAAATTAATAATTTATTTAATATTATATGTTTGCAAGCAAATTATTTAAAGAATCTATATACTCAAATACAATCTATCTAATTGATTCTTAAAAATTTATTTGGTATTTATTTTCTACCACTTGATACTTTTTAATATGGTTTATAATTTTTAAATTGCCAATCCTCTATCATCTCTACTTTATGAGCAGATGAAAAACTAAAGCACAAATAAATAGTTATCACGAACAAAACCAAACATATCACTACTACAATACATATTGTTGCTAATGAATCTATTCCGAATTTAGAAACAACTTAAATTGAAGCATAAATACACAATGCTATAAAAACTAATTGAATAATCCAACATATCTTTGTTATCAATTTTACTTTTCTAAATTAACAGATATCAAATCTATTAATAAATTTTGCTTTGTAATCTAATCTATGTTTGCAAATTTCACATTATAACTACAATTTATTTTATATAACTACATTCCTATTATATATCTTATTTACTCCAGATTATTCTAAAACCCACATCTTTAAACATTCTTCATGTACAAATTAAGTAGAACCTTTGCATTTACATGGTGAAATGAATTACGATGATTCATCATCTTAAATACATATTCTGCAATTTTTTTCTAATTTATTATATTCTTACTTTCCTCAATTTCAGTTTTTTAATCAGTCTCATTTGTATATATCCTACAACCGACAGTTTTTTTTCTAATCAAATCCTCTAGACTAATTCATAATTTTACTCTTGAGTAAATTGTTTTTAATAGTTTTTTTCGGAATTTCTAACTTTTCAACACTATACTTTCATTTATTCCCTGATCAGAGGTATTTAAAAAGATGAAATTATTATTTTATGTAATTGCGTCATTTCTATCCTCAGTCATATATATAAAGAAATTTTAGTATTGTGCAATTAATTATTTAAATAATTCATTATTCTTATTCAGAGATATTTGTACTTGTCATCAATTAGTTGACTTATATAACTTATAAGTTATTAAAACCATTTGGATGTACTGAGGCTGTTTTTTTTTTAATTATTGGGCTAGCATTTACACTTTATCCCATTTGAGATTATAATTAAAAAAAACTACCCTACTTTGTATCTCTTCTTGGTCTATAATTGCCTATTGTCCAATTTTCAATCATTTCAACTTAATGAGATGCAATCACACTTGCTACAAGATAAACTATTAAAATTAAAGCCACAACTACTAACAAAGTCATGAGTGCATCAATTCCAATGTTAGATAATCCAAACTAAGTGAATAAGACTAAATAGATTTAATCATTTACCAGCAATAGAACTAATAATAGCAAATATAAATAAAAGTTAGATGAGCCAACAAATCTTTTAGTGTTTTGGTATATCCCAAAACCGAGATTTTTGAAAATGATTTTATAACTGCATTCTCATACGAAATTTTTAGGAGCATAATTCACATTTAATCTAAGTAATTTGTTTAATAAATACTCTGTCTTTAAATACATCTTCAATGCCATTTTTTTAAAGAATCCATAATTTCAAACACTCCTCATGTATATATTACAAACTTCCTTTACATGCACAAGGCATAATAAATCTTGAAGTCTCCTCCTCGTTCATACAAATTCTACATGTCACTTTTGTTATGGTAAAAAAATTTACTTCCTCTTTTAGATAATTATAATTACTATTCATTCATTTCATTTACATATATGTTGCATCCAATCAACTTTCTTCTTTTAACATCCTATATCTAATTATGATACTACTTAGTAATAAAAGGTTTTCAAGATTCCTTTTTTAATTATTTCCTTTCTTGGAGAAGTTTATTCATTAAGTTACTAGTCTAGATTAAGATCTGGTATGAATTAAATAGAAGAATTCATAGCATTTAAATTTCTACGAGGAGATTAATTAGTTAATCTTATTTCACTCATGTTTGGATTAAATGACATAAGAGTTTTAATATTATTATTATAATATTTAACAAATATATCTAAAATATTTATTTGAAGATTTAGAATAAAAAAGAATTATTCGTTTAGCAAATGAAAATTAAAATTCCTTTCATTTATTAATTTCTTATAAATTTATTCAAAATAAAATAAGATTTATAAATGATATTTTATTAAAATTTTTACTCACTTTTCTGCTTTAAAATTAAAATAATATTTACTAATTTGCATCAAAAAGAAAATTTTAATAAATAGTAATAATTTTTTTAATCTATTCAATTACTTCTCAAACTTTCAAAATATGATAGAAGAGGTTAGACCAATCAGAGGAATTGTAGAATCGACTCTAAAATAGTTGATACAAGTTTTGTTAAAATAGTAAATAAAGTAATAGGAGAAAGATTAATTATCAGTGAAAATGAAATCTTGGGAAGATAAAATAAAATTTAGATTTGGATAAAGATGTTTAATTAGAAACAATATTTAGATTCAATAAATTGTTTACAATATGACTTATTTTAATACAAACTAAAAAATAAGGCATTGGGAATTTAATTGGAATTGAAAACTTTATTAAGTCCATAAATATATTCCAACTACAATTTCTGGTTATTCTGATTTTGAAGATTATGATATTTTAAGAATTTTTATTTCTTTTTCTTCGCTCTACTAATTCTTAAAAACATTATTATAAACAAAATCATCACCAAGATTTTTTGTTAAAAACTTGAGCTTATTTTAAAAACAGTTGCAATTTTGTATTAAATTTTTAAATAAAAATATTAGAATACCTATATGTCTTGTAAAATCAAAGCGATTTAAAAGAAGATTTAATTTTTTTTTAACATATAAAAAATTAAACGATTATTATGCAGCATTTTAACTTTAGAACTTATGAATTCTTGCATTTTATAGAAAATGTTTGAGATAAAAGTAGAGATTTTATCTTGTATTTTTAATTCTTAATTGTCATGATTGCATTTTACATATATTTTTTTAGAAGAGCGATCATAAAGGATAAAAATTATTTTTTTTTTGAAGATAAAAAATATAGGGAGAACAGAATTAATTTATAAGGATATAGATTATTTAAAAAATAGAACAAATTAATTGAATAGATGAAAGCTTAAAAAAATGAAATTTAGATTGAGATTTTTTTAGATTATATGTATATGATGAGGAAAAAATGGCGAAGGAGATTTTTGGAATTGGATTATCTATAAGCAAATTCAAATAATTTATTAAATCTATGTAAGCAAGGAATGAAGAATATCATAATAAGGTTGATAAAAATATTAAGTAGTTGAATGTTAAAGTATAATATTAATTAATTGGTTTGATTTTAATTTTCTTTATGCATCTCACTTTAGAAACAGAATTAGGAGTAAATAACTTAATAATAAACGATTTCCCAAGAGATGAATATGCTGACTTTCTTAGTTAAAAATCCCTATCTGAACATGGTTTTCCAGTGCCAGAATTAAAAAGAAAGCTTTAAGACGATGCTGTGCCACCACCTAATTCTAAAGACTAATAAATCAGTTTTATGATGAGCCCAATAATTTCCCCTAGTTTTGAAGGATGCAAAGCAAATGAAATTCTTCTTGTTAAACCTAATACAAACGGCGGTACATAGACATCATTTTAAACTCATAATTCAAAATTAAGAAATTCATAAACAACAGTTGGTGAAGATTTGATGAGATACTTATAGATAAGAAGATTTTTTAATCGGTTTATGCGTTCCATGCATCTTTTTAGTAGATTACAAAAGCATCATTTAGATATTCTAAATGACTCTGCTTCTAATTATGATCCAAAAATATTTGGATAAAGATAATTCAATTTCAGGCCTTTAGGAATGATTAAAAATCTCAATCTCCCAAAAATACCTTCTATTAGTTAGAAAATTGAAAAAATAATAAATAGAATAGGTTAAACAATAAAATAAAAAATTGAATACTGGGATTAAAATATTAGAATATTTTAACCTGAAGAGAGAAATAAAATTATTTGGGACAGTGGACTTTCAATTTCTAGAATATATTTTATTATATTAATTCCTATGGATATATCATTTGAATAAGAATTCTTATACTCTGGTTAATTATTTACTCTAACAGTTATTATGACAATTCTTTTAATGATGGATATACTCCTAAATTTAAATACAGCTTACTATTAATTTGGACTTATTGTAAATGAAAGATCTAAAATATTTAATCATGTTATAAGTAAAGCGTATGGTTGTGATGCCATATCGGTCATTTACTTATTTATTTTAATGTTTTTAAATTGGGATGAATATTATGAATAAAAACAATATATTTTAGTTGGTTTATTGACATTTATTGGATAATACTAGAATATCACTAAATTAATTAGATTAAGTGAAGAAGTTCTAAATTTGACTAAAGTTACAGCCTCAATTTTAGAGTTAGTAAAGTTGATAGTTTTTTTAATTTTTATTTTACATGTTGCAACTTGTATTTGGTATGGAGTATGATATTAAATTTATATACTTAGGTAGGTAATTATGGTTTGCAATATCTGGGATCTAGTTGGATACACAAATATAATTTAGAAGACAATAATTGGGCTGAGAGATATTTACGATCCTTTTACTTTTGTACTGTTACTATGTTTACTGTGGGATATGGTGATCTAACTCCTTAATGTAAATAAATAATTAATTTAATTTCAGCTGATCTAGAATATACAATTTGCATAATCTTCATCATGATCTTTAGTATTTAGTTACCATATAGTGTTAATACTGTAGGAACTATAATTGATGAAATTTCAAAATATAGTGAACAAAAACTATAGAAATTGAGAATTATAAACACTTATATGACGAAAAAGAAAATTAGTTTCTAATTGTAATTTTAAATTAGGGAATACTTAAACTATTATTGGGAAATGGAAAATACTTAGTAATCAAACGAAGAATAAGTAATTATAGAACAATTATCAGAATAATTAAGAGAATAACTAATGGTAGAAGCTAATTCTGTTGTTCTAAATAATTGTTCTTTGTTTAAAAATAATTTTTCTCAAGAATTCAAAAAAGCTCTTGTAAAAAAAATAAGATCAATATCTATTTAACCTGAAAATATTATTGATTATTCAACAGAACCTGATGCTTATTAGAATGCTTATCTTACATTTGTTGAATCAGGAGAAGTTGAAGTATAACTATCTGATCAAATATTCTCTCTTGGAACTACTTTTCATAAATTAACTCCAGGTAGTATTTTTGGATTATATGAATTCATAACAGGTTAAGAACATAAAGAAGTTTATAAGAGTGTTGGATTCACTAAATTACTTATTTTACCAAGATCGGCCTTCATAAAAATTTTGAAAGAATTTTAAGAGGATAGAGAAAAGTTTTGTTAAATCAGAGATAATTTATTGTATAATTTTTCAAAGTAATCCCTCAAAAATTTAGATATATCATGTTACGTATGTTAATCCAGAGAACATCGCTTCAAAGATTGCCCTTTACTTCACTTTTGTCCTGATAAAGAAAGAATTATTAAGTCTTTTACTTTTGTTAAAGAATAAACCAGAGAAAAATCAATTAGAAGACCTGGCTAAAAATCTGATAATCGTTATTTATATAATAAAGCATTATTAGACTTTAAAATCCTAAAAGAAACAGCAGAATATATTTAAGATGATTTTTGGCAAGAAACACAAATTTATGATTTAGATATAGAGAATGGTTATACTAGTCCTAATAATAATAATGGTACTTAAGGATCTCCTTAACATTCATCTAGTTCAGATGATGAAAAAGATGAAATTGTTTAAGAATTATCAAGACCTTCACTCAATTCTTCATAAAAATTTCCTAGATAAACCAGAACTACTAGATTATTAGAAATTAATCAAATGAAAAAACTTTAAACTAGAAAATCCAGTATATCTCCTATGATTCCAAGAGCTTCTTCATATTTAATTGAAACTTCATTATAACCTAAATAATCTATTTTTAGTTAATCAAAGTCACTTCTCACAAATAATCAAAATTCTGATGAAAAAGTACAATCTTAAGATTTAGAAATTAAAAATGAAACATCTATTTAAGTAACTACTTAACAATCAGAATAAATCAAACCACCAATTAGTCCTTTAAAATAAAATTATATGAAATCAGCATTAAAAAAATTAAATGATAATTCTCATAACCAAGAAAATGATAATCATGTAAGAAATTCTCAAGAGGAAAAGGCCAAAAAAGTTAAAGTTAAATTTCAATAAGCTTTTACATTTATAAAGAGATTAAAATAATTAAAATTTTCTAAAGAAATTGAAAAACCTCCTAGAATACAACAAAAATAATAGACTATGATAGTATAAAAATAAAATCTAAATTTAATTTAATAAAGAATACAAAGAAAAAGCAATACCTTGACTTTGCAGGATCAAAAAAAATTAGATTTATTAGTTATAGAACTTAATAATTAATTAAATAATAGATTTTAAGAAGTAGAGAATTTTGAAAATAAAAAAGATTTTAAAATCTATTTACCTCATAATAATTTGGCAAATTTATAAATATCTACTAAATTCCATCCCAAATTCTTAAGCAATATGACTCTTTATATAAAATATTTCTTATATCCTGCAGAGTTTATCAAGAGATATAAAAATAAAGATCCAACAATATTAGAAGTTAAGCCTGTGTCCTTTGCAACATAAATAAATGCATATAAAGATATTTTGAAATTTAGAAAATAGGCTAGAAAAAAAATTAACAAAAAATAGATAGTTCCAGAATGATGAATATTGATTTTATTGATGATTTATTAAAGAATCACTCTAAATCATTATATGGAGTAATTCCTTCTTATCCAAAGTAATTGAATCTACCTGTAGCAACATTCATAATTGCTGTATAAAAGGTACCTTCATTATGAATAGGATATGTATTAATAACGCTATAAACTCCCAATTCATTTAGCATTGTGTTGGTTAAATTAGCTAATAAATTCTCTGCAATTGTTCTTCTTTAATCTCCTTTAGGATCTTTGTGCCAATGATCATAATTAGTTTAAACCATATATTAGAATTGATCATTTCCTAACCCAGTGTTGTTAAAGAACAAAGTAGGATAGGTTGAGATTGGATCTCTTGTAATGATTGCACCTTAATTATATCCAGTTCCTGCCACGATGTTAAATTATGAACAGCCAACAATCACATTTTCTAAATAAGTGACAGCATCATCGAAATTATTTATATCAGAATCAAGGATCTAAATAAAAAAATTCTTATACATGTCTAAATGTCCATCCTAATGATGTTGTTCCTGCTGCAATTTTCTTTAATAACATAAATAATGGCAAATAATGACCATATCTCCAATTTTCTTAGAGTGAAACAACTCCATATTTGAACATGGTAACAAATCCAGTTTTAAACCAATACTAATCAACAGCTTCTCCAATGTATTGACCATTTTTGATAAATTTAAAATGAATAACAAGTAATCTACCAGCATCTGGTGATTAATCCATGTTTCTTCCATGAATGATACCTTATTAAGTTTAGAATAATATGGCAGTGCATTCTTTAATATCAACTGATAAGGAATGACCAATTTCATGGAAATAGACCCAAGCAGACAAATACTCAAATGTAACATCAGATCTATTAAAAGCTTCAACAACTCCTTATAGTTCTTCAGCATATTAAGGCCAGTGAGTTCTAACAGCTGTAGCTAATACATCATAGTCTTTGTTGGTTAAATGTTTGAAAGTGGTTTGATTATGATATAAAAAGAAGGTACCAAAAGATGCATCATATCCATATGTGTTCATTATCAATTAGACAGCTGGTTAAAATCTTTGTTTAGCAGGTCCATCTAGGTCAACGTCTAAAGTAGGAACAATTTTATATGCATATGTAGTAGCCAATACTAATAAGATAAAGATGAGCTTCATATTATTATTATAAATGACATTTTAAATATAAGTATTTTTATAATATTATCTATGATGACTTCATCATATTTATATAATTATCTCATTCATTCATCTGATAATCTAATGCTTGGTTATCCAAATACAATCAATCTATAATATTTAGAATTAATGATAACTGTATAGAAAGTTCCTTCATTGTAGATAAGATAAGTATCCATAACAGCACAAACACCAAATTCATTTAATAGATTATTTTAAATTTTTGCTAATAAATTCTCTGCAATGGTTCTTCTTTAATCATCTATAGAATCTCGTAAATAATAATCATAATTTGTTTCAGCTAAATACAATAAGATTCATTTATTCAAGAATACTTGAATTCATTTTAATTTAATGGTTAATTACTTAATAAAATTGTTGGATATATTTCAAACGGATCTCTTGAGATTATAACACCTTATTCTTTAGAAATTACTCCAATTATATTATAGAGGACATATACAATTCGATTCTTCTCAAGATATGATACGACCTTATCAAAAATATTCAATTTTTCATTAATTAAATCTATATGCCAATGACAATAATGATGGTACTCCTTATTCATTAAAGTTTAATAATTAATTAATCTTGACTTAAAGAATCGCCAAATCTTCAATTTTCTTGGAGAGATGCAACATTATATTTCAATAAAGTATATTTAAAGATAATGTGATAGAATGATAAAAAATCCAAATTTAAACAAATATCAATCAACTGATTCTCCTAAATATTTTTCATATTTTTTAATTCGAAAAGCAAGACAAATTATTTCTTGCTTGATCTGTATATTAATTAATACTTATTTCTTACATGTATGACTTCATCACCTATTCAAAGTAAAACACTAGTTTAGAACATCATTTGCTTTATGGCTTATTTCATGAAAATATACCCAAGCTACTATTTACTCAAAAATAATATCTTGGTCTATTAAATTTTTCAATTATAGAGAATATTCTGTGAAATTTTTTCCTATTACATTTGCTATTGTAGTATAATCTTTAAGAACCTAGATACTAAATGTAATTGTGTTATGAAACTCAAACACTGGCCAAATGAATATTCATATCCATATCACGCCAAAACGGTTCAAAGTGAATTCTTCCATCTCTAAAATTGGGTCTACTCAAATTTATTTTTACTTCAGAGAGATAATTAAAAAAGTAAACTGTTTCATATTATACTTATATTATTTTTTATTACATAAAATTATATTATATAATTGATGAGCTAATTATTAAATTTATATTATATTTTGATAACTTCACTTAAATAAATTAATGACTTCACTATCTAGTCATTCCTTCTTATTTTTTCTTATTTGTTCCCAATTTATTTTACTCATGGATATATTTACTATCAATTTTCAAAATATTAGTACAATAATCTGGCAATTAATCAAATACATTTTTTTGTAAAATAATTTCCTACATTTATTATTAAATTATACCTTCCCTGCATTTTTACCAGTTCCATCATGAATACCTACACCACAATGGAATGTTTCCTACATTTATTTTAATACATATGCAAAACTATAAATATCTTCAATCTTTCCTTAATGATCAAATCCAAATTATTCTAAACCAACAACTCTATTGACCTATTGATTATGTTATTTCTCTGCTATTAATTACAACCCTTTAAATTCACCTTACTTTAATTCACTTTAATTTAATCTCAAATTTTTAATCCTATAACTTTTTTACATTAATTCTTCAATTCTCTTTTATAATCTTTCTAAAGTAATTTAATTTTATGGTTATTTTCTTTTTTATTCTTTCTCTTTTTCTTTTTCTTTCTCTTTCTCCTCTTATTATTCTTCTTTTTATTCATCTTCACTATCAGATTAATGTTCCTTTATTCCTAATTCATTCATTAAATCTTCTGTTAATACTATCATCTTTTTCTCTTATTTCAAATTTTTTTTGATATATTAATTTAATTAAGATGTATATTACTCTCTTGTTAATGGTTCAACTTTTTAATTTTCTTCACCTTCCTTACTAAATATTTTAATTAAAGGACCCACTGGCAAAAAGAGATCAGTTACTTCAATATTTTATTTATATTAAGCTATCTAATTCTTATTATTATCTTCTTTTTCTTCATCACCTTTCTTAGCTGCTTTTAATACAGTTGGTTCCCAATCACTAATTTGTTCATGTTATCTATCAATCTTTATTATTGAAGGCTGTCCACCTTTTTTTATTTCTTTGTATTCAATCAAACCATCTTTTTACATTGTCTATAAAAATCTTATATATTATAAAGTATATTTTACTTTCCAATTTTTTAATATGAAGAATTCTTCAAATCTAATTCAATTCCAGGTTTTTTAAAAGCAAGCATATATTTTTCATAAAATACTTAACCTTCTATAGGTAATTATTTATCATTAATTCCTATTTTACAAGCATTTAAAAATGATTCCTTAATGTATTCATCCATTACTTTTGTAGGTACACCTCCAACTTATTATTATTATTATTATTAATGTTTCTCTTCTTATTTACCACCTTTCTTTTTATGTTTATTATCTTCATCACTATCATCCGCAAATTGTTATTTTACTTATTATTATTATTATTATTAAATTGGTTTTGCTTTACTTGGTTTTTTTTATTCTTTTTTTACTGCAGGTTTCTTTGTTCCTGGCGCAATCATATTTAAATCTATATCCTCATCAGAATATTCTTCATAATTTTATGTTTTAGTTTCTTATACTTCATCAAAGTTTTCTGGTTCTATTGGTTGACCTAATTCATTTGGACCATGTTCCCATAATTTATCTCCTTATTTATGCAAAATATAACCAGCTATTCCTTTCTCTTATTCTTTCTTTAAATCAACACTATCACAACCAATAGCTATTATTGCCAATAATCTAGATATTCTATTTTAATACTTCTTTTAATGATTCACTAATTTCTTTATAGAATCTTTCTTAAATTCTCCTAACTTATCTTAATTACATATTTAATTCCATAATACTTTTCCTGCTTTCAATACTCCTGCTTCATCAACTCCATCCTTCAATTATAATGTACCAACCAATTTTGGATACTCAGCCACCACAAACACTAATCATATCTCAATAATTAATACATGATGGAACGTAATCCTCCTTTCCTGTACCATCAACAAAAGCTGGATATTCATCTGTATGATAAATTATCATTTTAGATCCATTTAACTTTTCTTACATACACTATTCAGAATCCTCAAATATCTTTTTGACTGTTAATGCATTAAATTATTTTCTTAAGGCAGTCTCAAAGTTTTCCCTTTCTTTTCCTTTTAAAAGTACAGATCCTTATATTTTTATTGTTTTGCCAAACATTAAATTCTTTATTATAAATATAATTAACTTCTTTCATTTAAAAAAAATTTATTCTCTTTCAAACACCTCCGTTTACTAGAAATTGTTTTATCAAACAAAATAACCAATAATCATTCATTCGAATTTTAATTAGAATCCTCAATCACTAAAAAGAACAAATAAAAAAATTATTCTTTTTAATTTGATTAATTGTAATAAGCCAACTATTAAATAAGATGATTTTTTATAATTAATACA